TGGGGCCTGTGCTGAGCAATCAGCCAGACAGGAAGAAAAGCACTGAGTGATCTCACTCATGGGACCTGAAGAAAAGAAAAGGCTCTGAGGAAGTGAGGAGGGACAGGGGAAAGGGCACGGGTACAGGTGCCCAGGAGGAGCCACACCAGGGCCAGGGCTCTCCACGGGGCTATGCGCAGGGCAGGCAGCAGTGACTGCAGCACTCTCACCACAGGACAGCAGGTGGCTGAGACAATAGACATGCAGCTTGTTCTGCAGTGGAAACCATACATACCACATACACAAAATACAGCATCACATTGTGACTCAAATACACATAATAAAGTTTATCCTAAAATGGAATAAGCCTTCCTAAAGCCCTTCCCTTCACTGTGTTGAGCTAAAATGTTTTAATTTCATTCCCTATTGAACTTGAACCTTTTCTCCCCTTGTAACCAATGAAACAGGTAGCTGGGACTGCGTACAGTGATCAGAAGAGAAATCTCCACATGTACCTGTGGCAGTCACTGTTCTAAGAGCTTGGCCACCCTTGCGTCTCACCCTTGTAACAGATTCTGGAGGGCGGTCCTAGTACTTCTCATATCTGCAGATGACACAGTGAGACACAGAGAAGGGAGGTAATCTGCCCAAAGACACACAGATAAAGAGTGGTTAACTCTGCTTTGGGCACTGGGGTCTCAGGCTCCAAAGGCCAACGCTGCTGGCTGCACTCTGATTTTGCAGTCTCCCTCCCAACCCTGAAGAGTCAAAACCCACTGCTCACCACCGGCTGCTCTTCCAAGGCCCCAAGCCAACACAGAGCCTCGACTGGCAGCCAGCCCTTGACACCAATCAACAGACCTCAGGGACAGCCTCCTGCCTGGGGAGAAGAGGCACCACTGGCTGTCTGGGGACAAGGAGCCCAGCCTCCCTCAGGAGTGGAGATGGCAAACCTGACTGAGGCACACTCACGCAACAGGGACCGGTACTTTGCCCCTGGATGCCACATCCTCGGGAGTAACCTGGGAGTAAGGCTGGGCCACCTTGAGCCCACTCCAACCTGCTGCCTAAGAGATTGCAGGAGGCCCCGCACCTCCAGAAAGCCTGCTGACAGGGAGCAGGTGTTGCTGAGGCTGAATCCCCTCTCCACTTGGACCGAGGGCCAGGTCAGTGAGAGCAAAGTCCAGGGCCTCCTCAGGGCATGGGCTGGATTGTCCTGAATGTGCAGGGCATTTCCAGTGACAGTCGCCTTGCACGCCCCCACACTGAGACCCCTTGGGCTGCAACAGAGCCAGCATCTTTGACCTCGTCCTCTACAGATGCCAGGGAACCATGGGGTGCATGGCTGGCCCTCAGCTCAGACACACTGCCCTGCACAATGCACTAGAGGCTGGCAGGGTGACAGCATGGACACTCATATCCTGTCTCTGCTGGATGCCACCAGGGCCCAGGCCAGAGGGCAGGAAGTCAGTGAAGGATGGTCATGTACCAGGCAGCTGATTCAACTATGTGGACACCACCTGGATAGGGGGAGGCCACCCGCAGCACATAGGGACCTGAGCCCTCCCCACAGCTTCATCCTGCTCCAGCAGTGCCCTCACAAGGAAGGGGGACAGAGCAAGGAAGCCAGGGTTTCCCCAGAAAAGCAGCTGCAGGCTGGATCTCACGGCAAACCCAAGCAGCCCAGGGGCACAGTGAGGGAGCTGGGCTGGTCCCTGACTCAGGGAGGGCAGCAGGAACCTCCTGTGATGTCGCATCCTGCAGGACCAGGGCTCACCACAGCAGTGCTGACGGGTCTGCACAGAACACTGCACAACAGCGGTGGGGACTGGCACACCACTGCAAGCCACCCGACATCTCTGGGGGAGGGCCACAGGAGCCACAAACTAACAGGGAACTGGCTGGGGCTGGGAGCCAGGTTGGAAGTGGGATGACCCAGTCCACGGTGTCAGGAAGTCATGTGGAGGACATGGAAATGAGAGCTGGAGACACGGGTCCGGGAGGACTTGCCTGAGCAGGATTGAGTCAGGCTGGGAGATGGCTGTTCGTCCAGCAAGAGAGGCTGTGCCTCAGCAGATCTGTGTTTGGTCAGAGAGAAGGCAGAGAAGGCCAACGGGGTCAGAGGCTCCTCCTGCAGAGCTCCAAGTCAAAAGAGATGGACATCCAGGCATCCCATGCAGGACACAAAGGGCCAAGACTGACCAGTGTCCAGCTGTGAGATCAAGAAACTGTGGGGGTGGTGTGCACATGTGCCCAAATAGGGAACACGTGAGTGCAGGCACCCAGGTGCTATGTCTGTGCACCCATGTGTGGTGTGTATGCATGTTCCCATCCTGCGTGTGTCTCTGTGTGTACACCCAGGAGAGGTGTGAGTGTGTATGTGTATGTATGCACACATGCCCGGGTAGGATATGCATGTGTCTGTGAGCTCAAATAAGGTGTTGTGTATGTATGTGTGTGCGCCCAGGTAGGGGTGTGTCTGTGTGTGTGTGCACACGCGTCCCCAGGTCGGGTGTGTGTGTGTTTGTGTGCCCCCCCAGGAAGGGGTGGGGGGCACACTGAACCTCCTTCGTTAGAGTCATACCAACCAAAACTACAAAGCACATCATCTCAGCCACTTAGAATGGCTATGATCAAAAAGGGAAGAAGTTCTTGTTGGGGAGGAATTGGAGAAGGACCACCTCCCACCCTGCTGGTGGGGCATAATTCATGTGGCCATGGTGGGGAAAAGCCAGGTCACTCAAAAAACTGAAAGAGATCTACCTTGGTCCAGCATGGCCCTGGGCATGTGCCCAAAGGCAAGGAATCTTATGCAGGAGGTATCCCCATGTCCGTCCTGTTCACTGTGCATGACTCCCAACAGCCAGGAGCCCGGATGTCCATCGACGAGTAATGAAGGAAACGCAAGAGGGTATCCTTCAGCCACAAAGAATGAAATCCTGTTCAACCATGTACAGCCAGAGCATTGAGAAGTTGTACTCCATTTGTGTACAATGTGTCAAATGCATGCTACTGTCAGGTATAAGTAATTAGAACAAATTTTAAAGTTTTAAAAAGAAGAAAAAACATCAAATTCCTGTTCATAGCAAAATGGGTGGAACTGGGGGGTGCTGTTAGGTGAAACCAGCCAGGCACAGAAGATGGGCAATGTCCTCTCCCTGAGGCTGAAGAGTGGGCCTGAACAGAACACCCATTACTAGGGGTGGGGAAGGAAGTGGGGAGTATGGGAAAAGGGCACTGGATGTCACCCCTGCCGCTTCTGCAAGCATGGTACCCTCATTGGTGCTAATAAACACATGAAAATCCCCTCCTGGTTTGGTGGCCCCAAAGATGCTGAGAAAGGGGCTGCCCCTGGCCAGAGCTGCCCAACCATGGAGGACCCAGCAGGCCCATGCCCCACCAGGAACATAGAGGCCCATTTGAGGCGCAGCTTCTCTCTCTGAGCCAGAAATTGCAGCACTGGAGCAGGATGAGGAGGAAATGTGGAGTGCAGGGGAAGCCATTCTGATTCACTCCAGCATAGCTTCCCAGGATGGAAGGAAAGAGGCACCTTGGAGCTCCAAGTGAGAAACAGAGAACAAGGCCTCTTGGAAGGAGATCAGTCCTGGAGAAGCACCTGCCCTGGACTGGCCAGGCACTGGCCCTGCAGTGGACTGGTGCACAGACACAGCAGGCAGCAAACACAGCAGCCACAGCAGGAGGCCAGACCCAGGAGGGCAAAGCAGGAACTGGGCAAGGAGGGCAACACTGAGAAGGGGAAGCTCTACCTGTGGACAGAAGACCAGGGGAAAGGCAGAAATGCACCAGTCGAGCCTTCTCAGATTTTCTTTATTGTACCGTTTTTACAAGAGACTTTACATAAAGAACTGAACCCAACACAGAGGACATTTTCTTTTCCTGTGTCTTGATGTCTCCTGTGAGCATGCTGGGGATAGAACAGGGGGGCTCACACAGACTAAGCTCTTGTGCTAACCCTGAGCTGTACCCCTTTACTCCCCCAAGTTTTTGCCCTGTTCATGGTGACTTCAGAAAAGCCACTCTCCCATCATGGAAATGTCATACGCTAGCTTTCTTTTCCATAACTGAAAATTAATCCTCCCTAAATTACCTTCGTGGAGGGTTTGACTTCTTTCCACTCTCAGCATGGAACAATAGCAAGCCCATCATGAACTTGAAGGCACAGTGCTTGGGAGAGGATAGGAGCTGGGGACAAAGGCCCTGAGTGGGAAAGCCCATGCATAGCACATGGCAGCCCATGTGCCCCCAAACAGCAAGGTCATCCAGAAGCCTCACTGCTTCCTTCCTGAGACAGGACAGTAGACCGGCAAAGAAGTCACATGTGGAGTGTGAGCTTGGAGGCAGGCTGATCTTCCACTGAACACCTCCAAAGCTGGTCTTCACAGGTTCCTGTGCTCAACACTCTGTGCTTGGGGGCCTCTCAGGGGTCATGACAAACCTGGAGCTGAAGTGACAGGTCTCAGCTGCTCCACTCCAGGTACCCGTGCAGTCTGGCACTGCCAAAGCGAGTGAGCTATAGGGAGGGGAGAGTGCTGTGCCCCAGAGAGGCATGGGCACCTCCTGCAGCCAGAGTTGAGCCCCCAGAGTCCCCAGCTGTTTATGAAGCCCATCTTGCTTAATCACCTTCCTCCTCTCTCCCACCACCACCTCCAAAGACAAAGTGATAAAGCCTGAGATTGGACAATTCCCCTGAGTATGTCTGCAAAGAACTGAAGCAGTCCAACTCAAATAAACCTGTCATGTGTGCGTCCACTCACCCCAGTCCCTTGGCCACCTGAGGCTCTACTCCCCATCTTAGCAGATGCAGAAACACGAGGGGGCGTGGGTAAGGTCACAGAGAAGGAGGGGAAGTGAAGACACAGGTGCAGTTGTCTGACTCCCCCAGTCCCAGTGTCTGCAGAGGTCAGAAAGGTCAGACAGGTATACAAAGATGATTGCCTTCTGACAGGACTCATTCATTCCCACTCTCTTGACTCATCACAGGTGCCACAAGATGCCTCACCATGAGAAGTGACAACCAGAGCTTCCTGTGGGATCCTCCGAAGGACTTCATCCTTCTGGGCATCTCTGACAGACCATGGCTAGAACTTCCTCTCTTCGTGGTCCTCCTGGTGTCCTACATTCTGGCCATGCTGGGAAACATTTCCATCATCCTGGTGTCGCGGCTGGATGCCCAGCTGCACAGCCCCATGTACATCTTCCTCAGCCACCTGTCCTTCCTGGACCTGTGCTACACGACCACCACGGTCCCCCAGATGCTGGCCAACATGGGCAGCTCCAGGAAGACCATCAGCTACGGTGGCTGCACCGTGCAGTATGCCATTTTCCATTGGCTGGGGTGCACCGAGTGCATCGTCCTGGCTGCCATGGCCCTGGACCGTTACGTGGCCATCTGTGAGCCTCTGCGGTATGCCATTATCATGCACCGCCCTCTCTGCCAGCAGCTTGTGGCTGTGGCCTGGCTCAGTGGCTTTGGCAACTCCCTCGTTCAAGTGGTCCTGACAGTCCAGCTGCCCTTCTGCGGGAGGAAGGTGCTGAACAACTTCTTCTGCGAGGTGCCAGCTATGATCAAGCTGTCGTGTGCAGACACTGCTGTGAATGACACCATGCTGGCCGTTCTGGTGGCCTTCTTTGTGCTTGTCCCCCTGGCTCTCATCCTCCTCTCCTATGGCTTCATTGCCCGGGCTGTGCTCAGGATCCAGACCTCCATGGGACGGCACAAGGCCTTTGGGACCTGTTCCTCCCACCTGGTGGTGGTCTCCCTCTTCTACCTGCCTGCCATCTACATGTATCTGCAGCCCCCCTCCAGCTACTCCCAAGAGCAGGGCAAGTTCATCTCCCTCTTCTACTCCATAATCACACCCACCCTCAATCCCTTCATTTATACCCTGAGGAATAAGGACGTGAAGGGAGCTCTCAGGAGACTCCTGGCCAGGGCCTGGAGGCCCTGCAGAAGATGAAGATCCTCGTCATGGCCATCTCCATCGCCTGGACAGCAACAGGCAAGTGAGTCACGTGCAGAGTGCCTTCCCCCAAGGGACTGAAAATGAACAGTGGGTAGATACTGTGAGATCCACCACCTCAACATCCCCACCACAAGACAACACACCTCCCTGTGGTCCCACATCTACTGATGAAGTCACTCACAAGTGTGTACTTCCAAGAAACCAGGTGCTTTTGAGAAAGGTTTCGGTGAGGTGGTGTGAAATAAATATTTGTCGGGTGAATTAATTTCGAACTTCCCGATTCTTGCCCCTTTTCCTCTTTCTCCATTTCTATTTCTCTTCTGTTTGTCCCCTTTTAAGCTTCCTTCCTTTCCCATTACTCCTAAGCATATATAATACAGTGTGAAACTATCTTATTTGTTTATAATAAATGCAGGGTCTTCATAGATTTGAACATGAATTTCACATAGATTTTTCAAAATCTTACAAGAATGAAGAAGAGTGCTTTCTTCCTGTCAACATAGATAATTTTTTTTCCATAGCTCAAATTTCCTTCTTTACAAAGTTTTCCCACCATTAACTGGAAACTAGTGACACCAAACCCACTCTGGATATGTAAGGTTCCAAGGACAGAGAAAATATGCCATAATCTCTTACCTTACAAAAGGATTATTCTAGTTGAGAATGCAAGCTATACATACCAATGACGGTTAGAACAATAAAACTTTAAAAAAAATTCAAGATACACTACCCAAATTGAACCAAGAGGACATAGAAAACCTAAACAGACCAACAGCAATGAGATTCAGTCAGTAAATAAAAAGCCTTGCAACAAAGAGACGTGCAGGATTCCCACTTGAATTCTACCAGATCTATGATATAAAGAGGGGGTGTTATGGTTAGGATGTATTGTGTCTCCCAAAAGCTCCTCCCTTAGGGCAAGAAGGTTTCAAGGTGCAATGATTAGATTATGAGGGTCCTGACCTAATCAGTGGGTAACACCATTGAAAGGGCTGATGCTTTGGAAGGATGGGGGCGTGGAGCGCTGCTAGGGAGTAGCCTTGGATGGTTCACTGCTGGGGGCTTGTCCCTGGGATGGTGTGCTGCTCGGGGCGTGGCCATGGGGTGGTGAGCTCCTGGGGGAGCAGCTGTGGGGTGGTGTGCTGCGGGGCGTGGCCGTGGGGTGGTGAGCTCCTGGGGGAGTAGTTGTGGGGTGGTGTGCTGCTGGGGCGTGGCTGTGGGTGGTGTGCTGCTGGGGGCGTGGCCGTGGGGTGGTGAGCTCCTGGGGGAGTAGTTGTGGGGTGGTGTGCTGCTGGGGCGTGGCCATGGGGTGGTGCGCTGCTGTGGGCGTGGCCGTGGGTTGGTTCGCTGCTGGAGCGTGGCCATGCCATGACAGAGGGTCTCCCTGGCCCTCCCTCTCTCTGCTTGCTGGTCACCCTGGCTGGCCAACTTCCCTGCACCACACTCTTCCCCAATGATGCTCCCTCCCCTCAGAGCAAGGAGCCGCGGACCTTGACTGGCCCTCTGAGACCCTGAGCCCACACAAGCTCCTCCGCCTCCAGGCTGGTCTTGCGTAGTGTTTGGGTCACAACAGGGAGGAGCTGACTGGTACCGGGGGACACACCCAGACTCAGCCTAACCAAAACCTGGGGAGAACATGTCAAGGTGAGAAGGCCACAAACTAATGACCTTGATCAAAGCAGATGAAAAACTCCTGAACGAAATGTAGTATTTTCCTGAAACGTGACCTGAGGAAGCGAAGGATCACGCACCTGCACAGGAACGGACTCTAGCCAAGGCAGCGCCCACTCCCCGCCCAGGAGCACGGTGCGCTCTGCGCATGCTCAGAGCTGCCTTTTCTGCAGCCCTCTGCTGGGTGCTCGCCTGGGTGCTGGAATCTGTGTGGGTGTTTAATACCCTGACCTAAGGGACAGCCTGTGCCTAGTAGACTATAGTAGGCAGAGAAACAAGCACCCATCACTGTCAGTGAATGGAGGCCAGAGCGCTTTCTCTACGTGAGCAATGTGCAACCGAAATTTTAAAGTTAAAAACCACCATTTACACAGGCTCAAAAATTTAAGTTTTAAATGTGGTAAAATGTGTGCAAAAGTATATCCCGAAAGCTTTTGAAACCATGAAAACGAAATCTTTACTAAACGGAGAGCTATTCTTAAAAAAAAAAAAATAATAAGTTCAAGGTAGAAGTATAGCTAGCTTTCCTAGAAGGCCTGGGGTCCAGGCGAGCAGCCCAGTGCACTAAGCTCACCACCAGGCTGGGCCCTCCTAACCCCGCAGGAGGGCTGCACTGTGCTAGCAGCTAACAAGAGCAGGCAGAAAGGGGATGTCTGCCTGATCCCTCCTGCGGAGAAGGGAGCCTCCAGGACAGAATTGCAAGTTGGCAGTTTCTTTCTTCATGTTATAATTCATTTACACTTAATTTGGTTTTTTTTCCTCCTGTCTTGTATTTGTCAAACGTCAATATAGCCAAACCTAGAAAATAACAATGAACTCTAAAACTTAAGAAAGAAGGAAAAATCATGATGAGCTTTCTGACAGTAAAGGCAAAAATAAAATATAAGTCCACAAGGCTGTAGGATTTGATGTTAAAATATGAGGAAAAGATATTGCAGGTATCAGGACCACAAAGAATTTTTTCCAATGGACTGCCACAGAGTCACTGGATAATAAATACCTCAGAGCCCCTTATAACTACCTTTTGGAGCATCCAGACTGGCATAGAGGAGCATTTTAGTAAATGCATGGGTGCAAGTCGCAATTCGACAGGAGGCAGCCCCTGACACAGCACTCTGAGGAGGTGACCTTGTTCTGGGAAACATCTGAGAGTACTAAGAACTGCACTTCTCAAAACAAATGTGCTAGTTTAAAAACTGCTCTAAGCCTGGCACAGTGGCTCATGCCTATAATACCAGCAGCTGGAGAGGCTGAAGCAGGAAGATCGTGAGTTCAAAATCACCCTCAGCTACTTAGTGAGGTCCTGAGAAACTTAGTGAACTCTGTCTCAAGATAAAACATAGAGGGTTGCTGGGGGTGTTGCTCAGTGGTTAAGCACCTCTGGATTCAATCAACTTAGCAAGACCCTCAGAAACTCAGTGAGAACCTGTCTCTAATAAAATACACATGCTCTGCAAAAAAAGAAAAGAAAGAAAGAAAAAGGGCTTGGGGATATGGCTCAATGTTTAAGCACCCCTGAGTTGAATACCTGGTAACAAAATAATAAAAAATTAAAAAAAAAAAACTTGTCTCAAACTCTAGAAGGTAGAGACTAATTTTCCACCCGATGAACCAGCACTGGTCTTCATGACATGCGTGACAGAATGCAGTGGAAGACGATCTCCACCTTCCAGACCAGGTTGTAGGAAGCTGGTAGTTTCCAGGTAGTTACGCTGTCTTTAGGGCCTGAGTCATCAGGAAACTCAGTAGTTCTAAGGCTGCCAGACAGGGAGGCACCCAGGATGAACCTGTGGGGTCACCATAAATGTCCTCGGACACCTGATGGATTGAGAAGTGTGCACCCAGGAGAATACTATCCAGACTGGAAGGGAGTCCATGCTGCCATCGTCAAGGATGAATCCCCAGCAGGTGAAGTGAGTGGAACAGACAGGTGATGTTGCCCACAGAACCTACAGCAGCATAGCCCTGGCTCACCCCTTCCTCCTTCCACCACAGGAGGAAACAGCAAGGAGCAGGCCCACACCGATGGTGGGCAGCCTGCTGGCCCCGTATCATGTGCCTCCCGGAATCCAGAGCCATGGGAAATAAACTTCTGATCTTTACTACATAAATGAAAAACTGGAAATCAAACTTACACAAGCAGAAAATAGAGACTGTGGGCCTGGAGAGATGTTGGTCAGAGGCTACACGATCTTGGACAGGCTCTCAAGAGCCCTGTGGTACAGGTAGCGACTCCAGGTAATAACACTGTGTTGTTACCCAGGGGCTCTGAAGCCAAACCACACTAAGTAGGTCAGGTGAGCTTGACTTAGCCATTACACCACGTATACATATTTTAAATCTCACCATGTGTGCCATAGATATGTTCAATTTTTATTTGACAACTTTAGCTTAATTTGAAATTTTAAAATGTGGTAGTCTTCGGGCTAGCCCACTTCAGTTAAGTTAATCAAAGACGGCTTCTCAGAATGGGGGACATTGGCATGAACTGAAAAGATGAGGAAGGTCCAGGCTTGTGAGGAAGAGGGAGGAGAACTTGACAATTGTGAAGAACAAGGTCCAAAGCTAAAGAAAGGCCTTGTGTCCACAGCAGCCAGAGACAGAGGAAGCCACAACCACAGGCCACAGGTCAGAGCAAGCCAGGACTCAGAGGCGGCAGCCCTCCAGGAAGAGCTCCCAGGGGCAGTGCCGATCCTGGGGAGCATGAGGTCCTGCTGCCCCCTGAGGAGGCCCTGCCTAGGTATGGCTGCCGGAGACCTACTCAGTGGGATGCTGAGTTCAGCACCTCTGCATACACCCCAGAAGGGGACAGCTGCATTGTGGTGATTCTGTTCAATGGCGACTTCTCTTTTTTGTGTGTTCTACATCATGAGTTGTACTTTCCTGAGGGAAGTCCATGCTGAGTCACTTAGTGGCCTGGAGGACCTCCCATCCCATCTGCTCCCTCCCTCCTCTGGATCCACCCGCCCTGCTCTACCCTCTCTGCCTGGTGTCTAACATCCCTCCCTTCTCTAGTGTCCACCATCCCTCCTCCTCCTCCCTCCTGCTCTGGTGACCCATCCCTCCTCCTCGTCCCTCCCTCCTCTGGTGACCACCATCCCTCCTCCTCCTTCTCCCTGCTCTGGTGACCACCATCCCTCCTCCTCCCTCCCTCCTCTGGTGACCACCATCCCCCCTCCCTCCCTCCCTCCTCTGATGGCCACCATCCCTCCTCCTCCTCCCTCCCTCCCTCCTCTGGTGACCACCATCCCTTGTCCTTCTCCCTCCCTCCTCTGGTGACCATCATCTCTCCTCCTCCCTCCTGCTCTGGTGACCACCATTCC